AAGCCCCGTTGAGTAACATCTCCCCCACCTCAACCCAACGAGTTGTGTCCCCCATTTTGGGGGTGTTGGTGGTGACACCACCCAGGACGTCACCCGTGACGTCACCTTCCTCCTCCCCTTCTCCCCTCAGGACGGAGGAGGAGATGTTCTCCTGGATCTCCCGCCTCAACTTGGTGGCCGCCCTCTTCTCCTCTCCCCCCTTCCCCGCCGCCGTGGGGTCCCAACGCCGCTTCGTCCGCCCCATCCTCCCCGCCGCCCCCAGCCGCAGCCCCCCCGTGAGTTTTAGGGGGTTGTGGGGTAGGGTGGGACACCCCACCACCCATGGGTGTCTTCCTCAACCTTCTCCCCACCCTTCCCTCGGGCAGGAGGAGCAGCAGAGGTCCCACGAGGTCTGGTTGGAGAGGGTGGCCCAGGAGCTCTTGGAGCATCAACGGAACCTCCCCGAGAAGAAGGGTCGGGCCCGGGACCTGGAGGAGTATCGGCTGAAGAAGGAGTATCTGCTCTACGAGGTGGGGCGCCTCGTTAGCTTAATTAGAGGGGACAGGGCACGGGGAGGTCCTCGTGGTGGGTGGGTCATCTCCATCCTTGTCTTCCTCCACGGCAGAGATGCTGTTATGGGTCCTGAGGGACATGAGGGACACCCACATGGTGGTGGGTCATCTCCATCCTTGTCTTCCTCCATGGCAGAGATGCTGCTATGGGGGACACCAGGGACACAGGGACATCCCCACGGTGGTGGCTCATCTCCATCCTTATCTCCATCCTTATCAGTCTCCAAAGACACTGCTGCAGGACACAGGGGACACCAGGGACATAGGGACACACTCATGGTGATGGGTCATCTCCATCTTTGTCTTCCTCCATGGCAGAGATGCTGCTATGGGTCCTGAGGGACATAGGGACACCCCCATGGTGGTGGGTCGTCTTCATCCTTGTCTTCCTCCATGGCAGAGATGCTTCTATGGGGGACACCAGGGACATGGGGAACACCAGAGACATAGGGACATCCCCACGGTGGTGGGTCATCTCCATCCTTGTCTTCCTCCATGGCAGAGACACCACTACAGGACATGGGGGACACCAGGGACACCCCCATGGCGGTAGCTCATCTTCATCCTTGTCTTCCTCCATGGCAGAGATGCCATGGGGGACACCAGGGACATGGGGACACCGGGGACATAGGGACATCCCCACGGTGGTGGGTCATCTTCATCCTTGTCTTCCTCCATGGGAGACACCACTGTGGGACATGGGGGACACCAGGGACATAGGGACACCCCCATGGTGGTGGGTCATTGTCATCCTTGCCTTCCTCCATGGCAAAGACACCACTCTAGGACATGGGGGACACCAGAGACATAGGGACATCCCCCTGGTGGTGGGTCATCTCCTTCCTTATCTCCATCCTTATCAGTGTCTCCAAAGACACTGTTGTGGGACACCAGGGACATAGGGACATCCCCACGGTGATGGGTCATCTCCATCCTTGTCTTCCTCCA